CCTCGGCTCCGAGGCCACCGCTCGCACGAGCGCTGGGCGTGTGAAAACTCACCTCTGAGTGCCTGGCCCAGCTGAGGCTTGCCGTACCTTGGGGACAGTCCCCCACACCTGGAGCCAGGTCAGTAGGGCACGATACACCCAGAGCACCTGCCTCAGAGCTGAGGTTGTCCTGAGCCTCACCTCCTCTAGGCGCTCGCAGCCCACACAGCTTCGCTGACCCTTCCGCAGGGCGCGCAGAGCCTCTACCCTGACGAACCCTCTGCCCAGGCACTCACCAGCACGAGCTGAGGGCGCACGCCTCCCCTAAGCGCTGCTCGAGGCCGGCCGGCCCCAGTCTGCAACTGGGAAGGTGGACGCACTTGGAGGCCCAGTCTGCAAGCGAGCAGGAGCCATCCCTGCCAGCCCCGAGCCGGCTTTAGCCATCGCCCAAGCTCTTACAGCTCCGCAGACAAGCGGCAACACAGCCTGTCTTTTGGCCCAAAAAGAGGCACCCATGCGCGCAGCGCTAGTCCCACCCCTGCCCTCGCTGCCTGAGGACGCACGTGGCGAGGCAGCGGTGGCCTGGACCGAAGGCGAAGAAGCCAGACCTCTCCCCTCTGCCACTATCCCACATCCCCTCCGTGGGTGGTTGGTTTGGAAAGGCTGTCCGCACTGGGCCGCGGTCCGCCAGGCCCCACAGCAGCCTCCAGCCGCCCCGCGTCCTTCTCTCTCTCCTCCCCAAACCCAGAGGTGGGCAAGGCGCTGTGCAGATCCGGGCGGCAGAGGGGCAGTGCATGCCGGTCTTCCCAGGAGATCACCCTGCATGCAGCTAAGCACCACCAGTAGCTCCTCTCTGCTGCTGCCCACCTCCATGTTACTTTGAACATCCAAGCCGAGGCAGCAGATGGTGTTTAAACAAGCCAAGCAGCATCAGCGGCTCTGGCTGGCTGCCTCCCGCGGGAGCCGGGGGTTCCTCAGGGCCCGGGGCTTGCTCTGGCTGGCTGCCTCCAGCGGGAGCCGGGGTTTCCTCAGTGCCCGTGTCTCCCCCAGCCCGGCCTAACCTGACTGCGAGAAAACATTTCTGCTCCAAGACTATATATACAAAGTTCCCATGGCACGTGGTGTACCCCAACACTGTCAGGTCGTGCAAGGGTCGCTCCAAGAAACCAGGAAAGAAGGCACAGAACTGGACAAGAAAAAGCAAAGAGCCTATGCCTCGTCTGAACCTTTTGGTCTTGACTTAGAAATGCAGCGGCCACTTTTCCACACACAGGAGAAGCAGGACGTGGACCTGACTCAGCTAATTTCCCTGTCACACCGAGATGAGGGGCGTGGAGAAAGCAGGCGGTGCAGACAGAAAAGGGCAACTAGGGCACGGAGCTGGCTATGTGCTGTCCTGTCAGCGCCCAGAGGGACCGTTAGGCTCCTCAAAATAAACGTGGGCATGTTCACGGGGACCACAAGCCAAGCGAGCAGGAACCACGCGACTCTGCGAGAGTTCCCCTTTGCTCCCTCAGCTCCAGCGCGGCGCCAGGCCTGAGCAGGCCCCCGTCTTCACCATGCGGGAAGGCCATTCGCTACTTCCCCTAGGACACCCGCCATCCTCCTTCCTACCGTTAGGGAGTCTCTCTGACCTGAGAGCCTTGCCTATCCCCTTCCCCAGAAATATCCCCCTTTATCCTCCGCAGTGACCCATGAGCTAGGAATGCTTTTACCACTGTGCACGGCAGTTCTGCTTTCAAAAGAGCGGGACAGCAACGTACCACTGCCGCATGCCCACAAGTGCTCCCCACCTGCAGCTGCAGCAGGGAGGGCAGCCCAGAGCAGACACGCCTGACAGCTGATGAACCCATGGAGGAGACCTCCCCTTAGCACCTTGAGCCCAGATCTCCCCAAGTTAGGAGGAGCAGATCTTTAAAACCAATCCTCACGGCCAGCAAACATATCCCATCCAAGCAGGCAAGGAGGATAAGCAATACCTTCTCCTCTCAGCATCCTGGGGATCTGTTCCTGGCAGGCTGATGGTGATGGACGAGGGGGCACCCACATCGTAGCGTTTCACTGTTTTCCGGCAGACTTTTACCTTCACCAAGATGCTGTGCACCAAATTGGCCACCAGCCCCACCACTGGCTGCAGGATCTCTGGGAAGAAAGTGGCAAAAGCGAAGTGGTCTGACATATCTCCACGGCCTCTACTGTGCCGCTGGTAAAAACGGAGATAGACCCAGCTGGAAAGGACCCCGAAGCCATAAGAGGCCAGTACATTGCTCTCGATGAGGGTGGTGAGCCGCAGAACAGCCAGGAGAAGGAGCAAGAGCATGGGGACAACTTTCATTCTCACTTGAGGCACCTTCAGGACAGTGCTGTCACCCATGGTCTGCTTAAGGGCCACCAAGACGCCACCGAGGAAGCCCAGCATGCCATGGATGCGGACATCAAACAAGTATGAGAGATGGAAGGACGCCACGTAGGTGAGGAAGTAGGCGAAGGCTCCCAGGAGCCCCACAGAGACGTTCACCACCGCAAAGAAGATGAGCAGCTCCAGGGCGCCCCAGAGGGGCTCCAGCAACCTGCCGGCCACCACCACCGTGGCCAGGCTCACTGCCACGTCCCACACGTGCTTCTCCGCCAGGCTGTGCGTCACCAACGTCCAGATCCAGAAGTTGGGGGGGAAGAGGTAGCCGGGCGTCACCCCCAGCCCGTACACCGTGTCCACCGCGAAGGAGAGCAGGTAGAGCAGGATGACAGCGGCGCACACGGACTTCACCACCACGCTGGTGCTGGCCAGCGCAG